TAACGATTTGTGTTCCAGTCTCACGTGTTCGCATGTTACATCCATAAATTTAATTTTCTAAAAGTAATAACAAAATGGAATAAAAATTATCCCGGAACAGTCCTCGAGTTTTTGAGAACTCAAAATAAATATGTTTCTTGTTTGATGATGAAGCCTGTTCTCAAAAACAATGTGATAAACCATCATTCATTGAATACAGTTACTGCAGCAAGTCATCGTGCTTTCATTATTTTTCCGATCAGTACCATTACCATTGATTTATTATTATTTTATTTTATTTTGTTATTACTTTTAGAAAATTAAATTTATGGATGTAACATGCCAACACGTGAGACTGGAACACAAATCGTTAAAGGAAAAATAGAGTTCAGAAAGTGCATGAGTTTTTCCTAGGAACAAGGAAAATTCTATAACTTAGCACGTGATCGGGATAGAAAGCTGAAATTTCCTATAATGATAATAGACATCTACCACTACTACACCAAAAGATGTTAGCCTGTTCTATCGTGTTTTGGTAGTTATTGAATTTTTACTCTTACCGAGCCCCACGGAACCTGAAAACGAAAAAATTCGAGAACTTTTAATAGAAGAACCATGGACCACAACCGTTTTAGGCTTTACTATGATCTATCGATCCATGCATAAATCATTGGAATCGAAGGTGGGCACTTGGTGAAGGTTCCTCGTCATTTCGTATTAATACAAAATTGATTTTGTATTTTTCATAAGATTTCTATAAGATCTGTCATTTTGTCTATTCTGACAGTTATGAAATTGTCGTTCATTTTATAATCGTTCATCCTATAATACCATTCAAATGGAAAATTCCTGTAATAGCGGAACTATTTAATATGGTCCTGTCAGTTGACATCTTCTATACCTATAAAAATAAAAGAGTTTCTTCAATGTATCTTTTATACATATTTAAGCTCTATTTATTTATTTATTTTGTTCGTTCCAAAAATTGAACAGTAATATTTTTGAACCAATGAATGGTAAAGTAATTCTAACTAATGTATCACTCCCTGAAGTATTTGACAGTTTTAGAATGATTTTATACACAAAATACATCAATTTCGTGCTCAGAAGTTATCCCATATAAGTCAATAATTTTCGACTTTAACCAACCTTGGATAATATACCTGCGTCTAAAAATAAAAAAATATCTCTTTATAACTATTTTGACAGAATTAGGAAAATATATGTGGTTAGTTATTCATAATTACAAGTAATCGCAATAGTTGATGAATAATTCCACTATTAATAATATATATATGAATTTTATCTACTTGAAGTGTCGGTATTATTTTTATTAGTATTATGTTACCAATATCATATTCAATATTTGAATATGATATTGACATTTGCACAAAAAAAAAGAAATGGCTTAAATAAATACAGGTGGTATTCACTTTTCTATTATTCTATTATTCTATAGTCTACCATAAAAATTTCCTACATACTAAAAACAAAACAAGTCCTAAGCATACCGCTGAAGGTAAGTATTTTCAATAATCTGTCTAGTTAAAGTTAAAAAATCATTACAGATCTATAAAATCAACTAATTTTCTTGTTTAATATATTATGTGCTATTTTAGTTCAAATATGTCCGTTGAACCCAAATCATGGCCAGAATTTGTTGGTAAAGATGCCAACGAAGTTGAAGCAAAAATAAGAGCCGAAGGTGAGTATGATATTAAAAGTTATTGTCTGAAAAGTGTCTAACCAAAATCGAAAGGTGTGATTACATAGTCTCAACATGCAAGTTTTGCCATTCCAGAATTATAGACGATAGAAAATTATGATAAGATTTTCGCTGTTCTCAACATACATTGATTATATGATGGAACATTTATCGAATTCTGACATATGAAATGTTCGGGCAATAGTTCTTAAATATACGACAATCAGATAAAAACTGACGTTGTTATTATTATCTAGGTTATGAACCAAAATTATTAAAAGAAGGTTCACCAACAACTCGAGATTATCGTGAAAATCGTGTATTTGTGTTTTATGATGAAAATACGAAGACAGTAACAAGTGAACCAAGAACGGGATGATGTTATGTAAGAAAGACACGATGAAGGCATAATTTTTTGTTGCTTTATGAAATTGTTTTAATCTTGATAATATTTATTAAAATAAATTTTTAAAAATAATAATGCATATATATAGGCAAAATTCAAAGTAAAACACAACGTTTCTTTTTTCTTGAATCTAATGGTTTTAATGCTACTGAAACAGCTTCTTCAAATACAAATTTGACATTTTCCTAAAAAATCATGGAGAAATGTCAGTGAAAGACTACTCAATTGCACAATGGAAAGAACTACTATTCCCTTAGTCAGAGAATTCATGCTTTATGCCTTACTTGTGTTTTTGCTGAAGTTTCGATGTATCGTTTTGCTTTAATTTCTTTTGCTAATTTTTCTCCTTGTTCCGTTGTAATTATTTGTCGTTCATATCGTTTATCATCTCTTAAATCAATTTTGGTTGAAATTAATAGATATGGTATATTTGGACAATAATGTAACAGTTCTGGTCTCCACTAAAATAAACAGAACATTTGTCATAACAAGCGTCAATGTAAAATACAAAATGTCTTTACTTACTCGTTGTCTAATATTTTCAAATGACGATGGTAGTATTGAACTGAAACATAACAAGAAAACATTTGTACTGGAATATGACAACGGTCTCAATCGATCGTATTCTTCTTGACCGGCTTAAAAAATACAAACTAATTCGAACAAATTAATGGCATTTAATTTGTTCAAATAGGTAGTCTACCTGTATCAATAAGCGCTATAAAAGAAAAAGAACTAAACATAATGATTAAATGAATACTTCAAATTCTATTATTGTACCTAATGGATACTGTTTATTTTTCACTTCAACAGTCACTAAACTGTCGTCAAAAATCTCGAACATAACAAATGCAATTAAAAAACCAACAGATCAATAGAGAATACGAACAAATAACATACTGTTGGCACGTAAGCATCAAGAAACTTGTTCGTCGAATAAGCTGCCAATAAACATGTTTTGCCTATATTAATATCAAAGTATGTTAATGTTATTAAGTATTATTGTTTGGTTTTTATTTTCAATCATTTCCTACCTGTATCACCATCTCCAACGATAACACATTTCAAATTTCTCTCTGCAGACATTTTGTTGGTCAAGTGTATTTTTAAATCTGAAGAGAGAAACTATTTCTTATTCTATGACTATAACTTTCTCTCGTCTTAACTGTAGAGAGATACTGCTGCTGTTCGAAACTGTCATTCTCCATAGTTCTCAATGGTTTCATTACAGACGAAAGAAGTTTGTTACTTTTGAAAACATTGTAAAATTCTCTGAAATTATTTATTTCTGGAAAACTGTTATTTTGACCTTAACTTTCGCTTCAGGGTGAGAACTAGTCTGATGAAAACTGACTGTGTGTCAAGATAAAAAAATATGACTAATTCTTTATAAACACCTGTTTCTTTCTCACGTGATCAGCTGTAAACTTTATTTTCTCTTTTTTTCTTTTTGAAAGAATCTGAGCATGCCTTTTTTTTTCGCCTTGACTATATATTTATTCTCGACACAAAAGAATCGAGCAGTAAAAATGCTTAGGTCAAAAAACAGAACCTCTGATCATTAGAAGAAAAAGAATAAATATTTACAATGAGATAATAAATCTCACCTTGTAATTTCATCGTAACAATATCGGGTGCGTCATAATGAATGAGCTTCTCATTATTTTCTATTTTTCTCGTGTTCCTTTAGGATTCTAAGATTAGTGTTTTTCATAAAATATGCGTCGCGAAATATTCTACAAAACGTTACCTAAAATTTAATTTCAGAATTTCAGTTAAAAACACCACGTAAATTATACGAAAGGCGACAAAAATGAAAACTTTTCTTTGTAACTTTCGTATATTTTTCGACTTGGATTTTTTTTACTTTTGCTATTATTTCTCTAAAAAAGCGTAGCAAAAGTGAGAAGCTAGTTCTCTTTGTACTTTTGAATGTGCTCTTTCTCGTGATCTGTAAACAATTTTTAGTGCAGATGGTGTGCTGAAGAACGACGTTTCAAAAATATGTAAAAAATTGACAATCCCGTGTTTTCAACAATGTGCTCAAGCAAGAAACGGAAAACATGATCGAAGTTTTGATTTTGCAGTTAGGTAGAGAAGAGCAATCATTTCTGATCAAAACAAACAAACCCGATCGAAAGAGTTTTTGTTGATGGAATTATGGAACTGTTACTGGAAGCACCACTATACCCAGAATTTAAAAAGTTAATGAAAAACTGCGTGACAACCGACAGAAAAATGATTATTTCTCCATGGGTTTTGAAGTGAAAAAATGTGAAGTGTAGCTAAAAATAGAGCGAAGGGAGGGCTACATAATGGCTGACTCAGGTTGTCTTACTTTCAAAAAGTTAACATAGGAATCGATTTTGATTTTAAAAAGTTTTCATTATTTTCGCCCTTCGTATAATTTGCATAGTTTTCTTGATTGAAGTTTTGGAATTAAAGTTTAGGTATGGTTTTGTAGAGTATTTTGTGATGCATCTTTATGAAAACACCGATCTTAAGATCCTACAGGAACATGAGAAAAATAGAAAATACTGACGAAGACCTCGCGAACTATCACATCGCTTTTTCAGCCAAACCTAGTGGATTATAGGTTATCAACTATGCTGAATCCGAATATCATAGCAGCAGCTACCCAAGAGCCTTCAGAGAGCGATTTTCTGGAAAACCAGTTTTTCAGAAACTCTAAAAAGTAACCAAAACCTTTCTTAATGAGGTATCATTGTAGCCCGCAAATTTTTGATTAAAATGAGACATATCCCAGCTCTACACGACCTTTCTTTGCAAAGTTATAGAATTTACATGAAAAGCCCTAAATGTTCATTGTCAGCTCAAAGCTACAGAAATAAGAAATTAATTTAGGGTTTTTCTTGTAAATTCTATAACTTTGCAAAGAAAGGTCGTGTAGAGCTGGGATATGTCTCATTTTAATCAAAAATTTGCGGGCTACAATGATGCCTTATTAAGAAAGGTTTTGGTTACTTTTTAGAGTTTCTGAAAAACTGGTTTTCCAGAAAATCGCTCTCTGCAGGTTCCTGAGTAGCTGCCGCTATGATATTCGGATTCAGCATAGTTGATAACCTATAATCCACTAGGTTTGGCTGGAAAAGCAATGTGACAGTTCGCGAGGTCCCCTCGTAAAAGGCTCATTTATTATGACGCACCCGATGTATGCTAATACGTAAAATGAACGTCTTTACAAGTGATTCCATTTAGAGTAGTGTTTTCTGTACACTTCAAGACGGCCAGTCAAAAAGACTTTGTTACTTACAGAGAAGAAATGAGTTGAAAATAAAAGTTGCTTTAGAGATGTTTCGTTTAATGTTGTATGCAGCTTTACTGCATAATGTCATATTTTTCAGAAAAAAATCTGCATTTTCAATTAAGATTTATGTGTGTACAGCTGTCACTAACGTATCGTTTTCCACTATGGCATAAATCATATGCTTGCTTTTGTTTTGTTTATACTTTCTTTATCCTATTATCACAATTACGTGTATCGTTAATATCCTTGTTCATCTACTCCTAGGCTTTTGCAAATTTATTATGTCTAATAAACTACCACAAATCGATCGTAATTCTTATAAAAGCCCATCTTATTCCATTGTTTTGCTAATTTACATATTTTATTGATTACTAAAATATCGCGAGAGTAAAACAAGTGAAAACAGCAGCTTTTGTGTTTGCATGAACCTTCTATAGATCATCAGAATAAGAATTCCAAAAGTGTAATGCACGCACGTTTATTGACTTTACAAGTGAGAAAAAAAGAAACGATAACCCTACAACACACCACAAGGTATTGATCTGTTTATAACCCCAACAACATATCCCAACGAAGTAAAATAAACAGCAAACAAAAAAAAAATGAAACAAGATTAAAAAAGAGGTAGCAGTTAGTGATATTAATAGTATAGAATAAATCATATAGAAGAAAAATTAAATTATAATAATACTATATAGAGAACAAAGGACAAAAAAAAACACGTTGTAAACGTTTTTCATATACAAAATTGGTAGTAGCTAAGACTAAAAGCATGCTTATATGTTTTCCTAGTGGCACATTATCATGTCTACTCAATATCTTAAGAATTATCAGGAGAAAGAAAAAAACCAAAAGTGAACTAAAAGTAATGATGACAGACACACGTTGGCAAAGATGCACCACAATAGATATCTATTTGAAACTAAATGGACTATGATTCACTGAACAGTTTCTTGTTAATGATAGATCGACTACTCTTTACATCAAATTATGTAATATTTCACCTCGAAATGGTTGAAACAACGACTGGTGATAATCATTATTTTAATAGAAACAAATGAAATGAACAAGAAAATATTGAAGATATATGTGAATACATAAAAAAAAAATGATAAAGACTATGTATATATTTATATATAACGTGTGTAGAATGATAGAAAATGTTTCTTCCTTTATGCTTATAAAAGTAGAAAAAAAAGAGAAACAAACACGAAAAATAACTAAAGACAAAACGTATCTTTGGGATAATCCATTCAAAATACACAAGAAATTGTTGGTGTGTGCTCACAATAATAAACAAGTAGATTTTTTTGACTTTTTTGGTGGTTCCAATGCGGCTAGTATTGCTTCATCAAACACATTTTTCAAACCTTTCTAAAAATAGAAGAACGACAGGGGGATTACTAAATAGTAGCCGAAGTCATGTGCTGTATACTTTAGTCACGTTTAAGCTCAGCTCTATTGCAAACCTATACAATACAAGCTTAAAGATGTCGCAATCACAGATATAAATACATACTTGTGTTAAAGCTGAACATTCAACATATTTAACGGCTCTTAATTCTCGTGCTAATTTATCACCCTGATCGGATGTTATTGGTTTTTGTCTTGATTTTTGTAACTTATCCATTGTTTGTGGATCTTCACGTAAATCAACTTGTGTTCCAACAATTAAAAATGGTGTTTTTGAACAATGGTGTGCAACCTCGGGAATCCACTACAAAATAGAAAACTAAAAAAATTGCCTTATGTTCCTTTACAATTCTGAAAACAAATTTACAGTCTAGTTAACAAAAGTCTAACAACAGAAACAATATAACAAAAAGCTGTTTCAAAAGCATTAAATTCAATATTTAAATATCCTTTGAAAATAATGAAAATGTTACCTTTTCTCGCACGTTTTCGTATGATGATGGTGATACAACACTGAAACAAACCAAAAATACGTCTGTTTGAGGATAAGACAATGGTCGTAAACGATCATAATCCTCTTGTCCAGCTAAAAACAAACAAAGAAATATCAAGCATCACAAACTACATAAAAAAATTCTCAAACATATTTAAAGATTTTCGCATCAATCTCAAATGTCGCTTTGCTGGGATATGCTCAATGTTTCTGATATAATTTCATTGCAGTCGTCAAGAGTGCGCGCTTATGGTGAAATTTTTGTGTAAAACAAAACGAATATTAACATACCGGTATCAAAAAGACCTAATGTATACGGTTCACCTCCAATCATAACTGTTACAGCATAATTATCAAATACCTAAACGGAAGGAAAAATTAAACACCGTGTACAAGATATGAGGAGAAGAAATTATATAGGTAATACTTACAGTTGGAACATATTCACTTGGAAATTTATTCGTTGTGTACGATATCAACAAACACGTTTTGCCAACAGCACTAGAAAAAGGAAAAATAAAATGATATTTCAATCACAAGAAAGACTTTGTGTATATTACCCATCTCCGACGACAACACATTTTATTGTTTGCATTGCTATGTGAAAGAATCAGCAGAAGAAACGAAAAAAACAAAATACAAATTTTAAAACTATCTAAAATGAATCTTAAATAAATCACTAAAATTATTTTCGTAGAACAAACAAACACAGAAGAACTCCTCACGAAATGTACTCACAGTCATATCAGTTGTCAGTATAAAATCCAGGAGGGTATTTCATAAAAATTCTTAAGTGCTCGACTTAACTAAGCCTAGACGTAAGTCATATACAAGTCTTCGTTTTGTACACTTAAGTCTGACTTAAGTCCAGACTTAATTAAGTTGAGCACTTAAGAATTTCTGTGAAACACTCTCCAATCAGATACTTTTTTTTTCGTTCGGGTACTCTCCTGGAAATTCTTCAGTATTGTTCTACGTACTTAATTAATACATTTACTTGAGAAATTTTGTTAGCATTCTCACTGGTACTTAACTTAGTCAATAAAGTTGTTTATTTGGTAAACACTTAGTAGGTACTTAGAAAAATTGGCGATTATTCTAAAAACACTCACTTACCATAAACTTTTATTAGTAGTTCCCGATGATTGCAATATTAGGTTTTATTGCTACGAAGAACTTTATGAAAATCCTTATCAAGCAAATTTTCCTCTAGAAAAAAGATAAGTACTGGTTAATTACGCAAACGAAGTACTTGGACCAGGGACGTCCTCTAAAATAAACACTGAATGATTGAGTATCTAAAACTCACTAGGGCTTGCACAAATGGAATGCCAGTGACAATCATACTACCAAATCTTGCTCAAAAAATCATCAGTTATGATAAGTGTTACAGTAGATACTTCCACGTTCAGACATCAAAAGAAAATGAAAGCACCTGTCTAAACTGAGTTTCAATCATTTTTATCTTATGTTACACTCTTTTCCTTTACTCTAATCATGACAACAAGCATATGATTTGGATGTAACTCCTACCACAGCTTAACAGGTATTTTAATCAAATAGTTCAAATAATTATTGTTTAGCCATCATTGAATTTCTAAGTTTTAATACAGAAGCTTTTTGTCTGAGAAAAGAAATTATAAACTGTTAGTGCAGTTGAAGGTGTCGTCAGAACTTTGAGTATTTATTATCTTTATGAGGAACGAAACAGATCTATTTTCAAATGTTTTTACCACCGAGCTGGTTAATTTGAAGATTACGGCTGAAAAAGAGTAGAGCACAGATACGTCCTCTATTAAAGGTCATCTTATTCGTCAACAATGCCTACCCTACTATCTCTCTCGCTAGCTCCAGAGAACTCCAGAGAATAGGATACCGCAGACTGGAAATCAGATCGATAAATGTAGTCGTGCTTTTTTTATTTTCTAAGGAAGCTTCCTGACGGATAGCCACAGAAACAGAACTTTCAGGGATATATGCTCTTTTGATCGAAGGATTCTGAAGTAGTATGTTCCGCATTTTTTAGTCAATAAATAAGCACCTTCTATCGGAGAAGAAAGAGTACGTTATTCATCCGTAACCGTTAATGTTTAAACGTCCTCTTCTTCAAAAATACTATTTAAAACAATGAACAATTCTTCATCAAATGTTTCGAGGAATATAACTTACCGGGATCCTATTCCCGTATGAACTTTTTCCTGTCTCTGTAAATTAATTGTGATAATCCGTCCGTTCATGATCGTATAACGTCTTTGTATATTCGTATCTCGTTTAGTCACAATATGTGCAAAATTTAAATCTCAAAATTCATTTTTCTGCCAGATTCATTCAGCACATGAATCGACTAAATCGATTAAATCACTGAATTTCACAGCGCATTTAACGGTAAATTACCTTGGTGTTTCGTTTACTTTCTATCATTGCTGTTTTAGTTATAGTTACTAAAGGGACAAAATTTTGCCGATCAATGAGCGGTGCTTTTGAATGTATCGAATACAGATGACGTTTTTTGATGACTGTTTTTGTCAACAGAAAAAGACAGGTCAAGTAAATAACCAAGAGGTATGTCTGCATGCACAAAATAATCAAGCATGATGTCACATCGAACTGAAAAAGTAAATTACATTCTCTGAAACGTGCAGACTATTTGATGTTAGCACAGCATGTACATCCGATAATTTTTTTTCAAGGCATGTGGTCTGTCATATAGTGCACGCATCCCTGAATTGCATCTGGTTCGAAAATCTTTATCAGAAGTGTGGGTATTTCTACAGTAATTAATCATCGATTAGAAGCACTATTTCACCTACACAGAATGGTGTCTTTGAATATTAGGCTGATAAATCGATAAGAGCAATCAGAGTCTTCTTTAACTTTTCTTTTGGATTTTCGTCTGTTTTAGTTCGAGTATCCAACAAATTCTTTATTGTTGAAAAAACAAATTCATTTTCTCTAATGAAAACATCATTTCAATTGATATCTACACGAATAAACAGATATCTTCGTATGTTAATTGTCTCTGACTTTTGTTGTAAGAAAATTGATTGTTTATAAATAATATACAAAATTTACTTTATTTTTTCTTTTATTCTAGATTTTATTTTTTTCTCTAAGTCTAAGTAAGATAAATCACACAATGAACGATACAGATTCTGCAGATATGTCAGACGATGATGATTTTGGACTTGATAATGATTTAACCACAGCTAATTCAAACGAGCAAACACCAATTATTATCGAAGATTTAACAACAGCGATCGATATATCTGTACCAGAAGAATTACAACAATTTGATAGTAGTAAATTTGCGCAAGTAATAATACTCTAATTTTTCCTATTGAGATGAATATAAATAATAAAAATTTTCATTCTGTTAGGATTTATTATCAAAAGTTGGTACAAGTGATTTTCAGACATGTCTCTATCAACATTGGCGTCGTTATACTCCATTATGTTATACCTATCATCCAAATCTTGTCAAAGGCATGATTGAATTAAGAGCACAAGATATTTTATTTCGTCCTTTAGAAATATTTTTGTATGGAACACAAGATACAGAGAATGCAATACAAACAATTAAAGGATTAAATAATCCACCAACAGTTTGTGGACATTTATTTAAATCCGAAGAACCAACCTATTTTTGTCGGTTAGTAATATTTATTATAAAGTAGATTTTAATTTTCTTTTATATTTGTCCTATATACTGTGTTTATGATACGATTGTTAAAGTCTGACTTTATTTGTTTTAGAGATTGTTGTGTTGATGCCACATGTGTATTGTGTACAGAATGTTTTTTACAAAGTGAACATCGAAAACATCGATACAAAGTAGAGTTAACTGTTTTATTTTATTCATGTTTTGCTTTATTAAAATGAATCATATTTCTTTTTGAAGATGAATGTGTCAGCTGGTGGTGGCTATTGTGATTGTGGTGATACAGAAGCATGGAAACAAGATGTTCACTGTGCTTTACATAAACCAAAAAATGATCAGGAACAAGATAATAATGATATTCTAGAACGTTTACCAAATCTATTGAAAATTCGTGCGGGACTGTTATTTGAAGTATTATTAAATTTCAGTGTACAATTACTATGTTGTGGAGATTATCAAGAGACACCGGTGGTATTGAGAAATGAGTACGTGTCTATCTTGTTTAACTTTTATTGTAAAACTTTTATAATCGTTTTTTTTCTTCTACTAGTGATTGGGATGGTAATCATGATCGATATGTGACAATGTTATTTAATGATGAAATTCATACCTATGATCAAGTTATAGCAGTTTTAACTCGTTCAATTTCATGTTCAAAACAAGAAGGTCATGAGTATGCATCTGTCGTCGATCGTGAAGGACGAACAGCAGTCAGATGTGGAAATCTTGAGCAATGTCAGGAAGTACAACAAATGATAATGCACCACACAGTTGATATACCACTCAAATGTCGAGTTTATCCGAAATGTTTTGTATCTTTACAATATTTTGCACAAAAATTAATGTTATATATGCAAGAGGTCATTGCAATTTCGGATGGATTTCGAAGACTATTTTGTTTATGTGAAATGAATGCAAAAGATCAATTAACATTAACCGAACGAATTCTGTTAGCAGAAAATGTTTTATGGAAAAGTAAGTTGCGAATGTAATATGAGCAACTTTTACCGTGTTTTATCTTTTTTTTAAGGTGCAAAATCAGTATTACATCAGATATTCATTAATAGGTAAGAAAGAATCAAGACAACAATACCGGACACTGATATAGAATGATTGTATTCTTATTTTGCAGTTAATTTGTTTTGAAACTGAAATTTATTAAAAACAGAGCTTTCGAATTGACAGATTCATCATCAGTAAAAAAAAACTTGTACAAGTTTTTATTTATTATTAATTAACTGCAAAATATGAATACATTTATTCTACAATTTCTGTCACTATCACTTAAGTTCCATAGAATGATTTAGTTATCAGATGAATAAACACGGGATATGTTTATTTGTTGAGTTGCTGAAATTTTCATCCATAAAAGATTCAAGCTAATAGTGGGATAAGTTGATGACAAAGACTATCAGATCGCAGTATTAGAAGAAGCCAATAACCATAAATTTAACAGTAGCTTATTTTCAGTTCAATCTTTGAGTTTTAAAGACGTTGCAAGCTTTAATCTCTAATTGTTTTACTAAAGATTATCACTCTTATTTATTTTAGTTTTTTTATGGATTCTGAATGGAAGAAAACGTTTGCTATACTATATATGAAGGTAAAAATCTATTTATTAGAATACATAATCGAGAGAAGAAAAGTACGTATGGATCTATAAAATTTATTATCTTGTCTATTATATTAGAATTATTCAACTATATGGAGAAATTATGTTAAAGATCATGATGAATATGTTTCATTTACCGATTTGTCAGTGCAAGTTTATACCGTTCCAAGTTTGGTAATTATTATGTATACATAAAAATAGGCGATATTGATGAGAGAGTCCGTTTTGTCTTCCGAGCTGTTCAACTAATTTTGACTTTTCTTTCTTTCTCACCTTTAAAATTGACTCTAATATGGGTGTGCTTTACTTTATTTGATAGTTTTACAAATGTTTTATCTCATTTTTATAATAATCATGCGATTTGTATCACTCTCAGATTCTGTTTTGAAATTTTCATTTCAATTAGATAATCTTATAAGCTTAAAGAGAGATAGAATAGTGTTTGTATACAAGTATAGTCGATAAAATGGGTCTAATCACAATCGTCTATTACGTAGAACAAATGTAGATGAAGTCAAGAATAATATATTTAATTTAGGCACGATATTTGATTTCATCTCATAATGCATTTCAAACAATTGTCGAAGCATTTCTTGAATATTGTAGAAAAAAATTAAATTGTATGTATATTAAACGCATTGTTTATATTCCTTATCGTAGTTTAACGGTTATTTTGTTTTCTTTTGAAGCTCAAGAAAAATTGTTATTTCTTCGTACAACAACATCAATGGTTCAAAATGAGTTTCGTCGAGCACAATCGATACTCTATGATTTAAAGTGAAGTCAATAAAACATAGAGAAAAGTATTTTTCATTTTCATTTTGTTGTCTTATTTAGATATCTCTTAGGTATTGTACCAACTCAATATACACCAGAATTACGTGAAAATTTTTTGAATGGTTTTACATCTTTCTTACGACTTTTATCATATATGCATGTAGGTTGAAAAATAAATGATTTTCTATAGTATAGTGCATTTATGATATAGTTCATCTACGTTCAACAAGTCTATCGCTCGGTATTGCTTTCGTTTTCCTACGCTACTGTATGAAACATGAATGAGAAATCTGAAAAGTCTTGTCATTATGACTCAGTGCTCGCATGTTATACACTACTTAGCATAGATAGAAAATAAGCTAAAAAGACAAAGAATTTAATTAGATTGAGGAGAGAAGACTCCTTGCTTGAAAAAGTTACTCACTCCGAGAAAACTTATTTTCAAAAGTTGATGAGCGAAGAGGAAAAAGGTTCTACTTCGAAAATGTTTAGTTATTCACTCAAACTTTATATCGAAAACATTGGCTAGAGGTGTAATTGTTTTTTGTTTTGCTTCTTTTTGTCAGGGTATGGATAAAGTTGTAAGACAAGTTGGTCAACATATTGAATTTGAACCAGAATGGGAAACTGGTTTTAACATTGTTATTAAAATCCAAACAATTATACAATCGATTTTAGAATGGTGTTCACAAGATGTAAATCCGTTTTGAATTTGTACTAATAGTATTTTATGTTATTCTGCTCTACTTTTTAAGCCTGAACTTTCACAAAAGGCTTATGTGAAAACTGGTGAAACTCTAGCATCCATGCAACAAAATTCCGATATATCTCATATGATTAAGAAAGATGCATCGCCAATAGTCAAAATAAGTGGTAAGCGTCTGGTCGAATTATTCCTAAGATAAGACGATATAAAAGAGTCCATTTATTGGCACTAATTCTATCCTGAAACTGCAGCAATATATGAATTTAGTTTGTGCAGAAATCTTTAAGCAAATTTGCGTACATCATTAAACTTTGATTGCATTTTATATTAAACTTCTAGTTCATGACCACAAAATTGAATGTTACTCGTACGATGTTCAAAAAGATCCAATCTCTGTTCATATTCCTGTTGCTCGTTTACTTGCTGGTAAGAGAGATTTACACATTAAAATGTGAAAATCAGTTCACATACGGAAATGTTTAACATATTTCTAGCAATTTACATTCATTTACAACGATATACCGATCCGACAGCTACATTTCACAATCTGGTTAGAATCGTTTCAGTTTCATCGCTTTACCTTACAAACGTATGCAATTTCAATTCATAATTTTTTTTAATATTTTAGTGTCAACAGTATAAGATTTATCCATGTTTTTTCTATGAAGAAGCGTTACGTATTCAAGTATTATCTGCTCAACACATCGCTGGATTATGGAGACGAAATGGTTATTCTCTATCAAATCAAGTATGCTTTTCGGTGTATTTTCTCTACAATATTCTATTCTTGTTTGTTTAGCTTTACTTTTATAGTAATATCAAATGTCGTAAAGAAATGTATGATCGAGATATATTAGCGTTGCAAATAGGTGCCTCATTAACACAGCCTAACACATTTCTGGTACAATTATTACATAAATTTGGACTACTCGAATGGGTCAGGTATAAAGTTTATTAAATAATATGTTTTTGGTTAGTATCTCCTTCTCTTTTTTTAGATCTCCTGAAAATGGTTATTCAACAGAAACCGAGACGAAAACACGTGAGAAAGTTCGTATTATGGAAGAATTTTTACATTTGTTAATCATAATACTTGGTGAACGTTATGAGCCGTATGTTGGCCAAGTAATGAAAGATGAAAAATTAAAACGTGAAATTATTCATCAGTTATGTACAGGACCACTGCCACATAGTGAACTAGTTCGAAATTTTACAGATTCTGGACAAGAAGTAGTAAGAACAATGATGATTATCAAATGTTTAACAATAAAACTTAATGTTTCATGTTCCTTTTATAGGGGACAGTTGATCTTGAATCAGTATTGAAAGAAACTGCCGATTTCAAGTACGTAAATCTTATAATTTGTTAAGGATGATTGGACAACATAGAGAGAACACTAAAGTTGATATGACTCACTGTTTTGCTTCTAGAAAGTTATCTCACACATCAAAAGGCCATTATGAATTAAAAAATGATTGTTTAATAGATTACAATCCATTTTATTATCATTATACAAAAGCTGATCAATGCAGAGTAAATGATGTTTATATTATATCATTAAAAATATAAATCAATGCCTTCCTTTTCCTGTTATAGTCTGAAGAATATGTATTGAAACGTCGTAAAATTCTTGGTTTATCTTCGTTACTGTTAATTCCATCTCCACCGGCATTCTATGATTCATTTCAATCTATTATTCAATTGTTACAATGTGACATATTTTTAACATTAATTAAAGCGGTCCTCCATCGAACCATTGATCAAAAAGCTGAATTATGGTCTGAAGCAATTCTAATACGGGTAAGAGTCGTTTACCAAGCTGACAGTTTGTATTAACAGTATTGTTTAGCATGTAAAATTCTGTGAAAAAGAAATTCAGAATTTGGATACAACAATTTCAGAGTCAAAATTTATGAGTTCGGATCAAGAAAAAGCTTTTGCTAATACTCATCTTGATTATGTGAATGAAAACTTTAGAATAAGATGGTGTCAAATTTTTGACGATTAGAACAATATAGAAAAAAGCTTTTCTTTATAAGTTGATTCGCATTCGTTTTCTTACTGCCGTTTTAAACAACTTTTTCCATATAATTTTTTCTTCCGCATCTTATAGCGGAAAGAAAAAAATAATGTTTAAACATAGCTGCTGCTTTTCATAGTTTATTTATCTAGTTTAAAGTTATATTATTTCTTGCAATCTTTTGCTTTGGGCAAATGATAAAAACTTTCACTCCGGATTCGATTTTGAATCAGGGTAAAATAATTTCTTAGTCGGTGTGTGGTTCAGAAAAATTTTAACTATGGACAGATTTAGATTCAAAATAGATCGAACTCGTGAAATTGTACAAGCAGATCAACTTGCTTCTGCTCTAGTTACTATATTTTGTATAAAGATGAAGAGTTTAAATTCTAGTTTTAAAAGTATCATTAACATATTATATTCTAAATAATCTTCTTCTGTCGTTTAGGCATTGCATTTAATTACTTTAGCTTTGTTTGAAGAAGAACGTTCATTTCATAAACAACAAACATTGTCATCAAATGTATCTTCTCACAACTTTCAGTTTTGTGAAAATAGTCAAAAATATGGAATTGAAAAACTATTAACACAATTAACAACGGCAACTAAAGCAGAAACTTGTAAAGAATTTGTTTCTCATATTTTGAAGGTAAAATTATAAGCATTCAGTCACTAGTCCCTTCATGTTCCTTCTCATTTTTATACAAACGCATGTAATATAAGATTCGTTATTATCTATTTATTTCAGTCGTTTAATAAGTTTAATGAAAAGCAAAATGTCAGAGATGAGCAATCATCATCATTAACTGTTAGTCAAGATTTCACAAATGATACTAATAAAAAAGCTCAAAAAGAAAAACGTCGAAAAGAATTAGCGGCACAAAAACGAGCAAAAATCATAGCACAAATGACAGCGTTACAAAAAAATTTCATGGAAGGAAATAAAGATCTTTTTGACGAAGCGCATATATCCACGGGGAATGATTCATTATCTCCGTCGTTGCCATCGAGTTTGATAGCAACACCTGTTTTGCTGGGAACAGAATCAGGCATGACAGAATCAATGGATACAAAGTGAGAAAAGAATATGTTTTTTACACACATATACTAGAGCATTCTGTTAGATACATTTATATCTGACTGTTAAGATCGTCCTCTCTCTCTGAAAATATTTTCACTGTATTACATCCAATATAGACAAAATTTTGCAAAAATTGTTAACGATGATAAAGTATGACTGTGGTGAAAATTTCATCTTCATATCTAACTTTTCCCGAGTTTTTAGCAAAATATGACTGTTACCCTTAGAGTAACTCGATAGTACAGAGGTTTCAGAACTTAAACTATAAAGTGAACGGCCCTTTAATAGTTTGTTGAACATTTATACTCGAGGTCTTGATTGAGTCGCTTTTTCAAAGTTTTTCAGTTTTAACAATTTTTCTGAAGTTTTCGACTTCAGAAAAGCCGAAAAGAGCTTGCACAGTACGGTATATAAAAGATCATATAAAAAAACGTGCATTGTCAGGATTTAGATAATAAATTTGTGTATCAAAAAAATGTTTTGTTGTACAATGAAGTGGAAGAGAGAAAAGATTTTCAGAAAATTGAAAAGAATCTAAAAAACAATCACCTCTCAGTTATGATGGCGCCAATGTACGGTATATATCTTAACCCTTTGTGCCCATAACTAATTACGTAAAGGAAACTTGAACCTCTTGTACCTTTCTCTAGACCAACTGGAACAATTTTTTCTTATTAGCAGTTGCTAGCCCATGGTGTCAACTTACACTAGAAAATAATCCGTTTTTTGATCTCGACGCATCGTCACCTAGCTGTACTAATTCTACGATATCCACGAATATCCATACCAGTGGACATTGGGTCTTAAAGGGTTAAGGCTTTATGTAGAAATGTTATAAGTTTTGTTTCAAACATCCCTTAGATCGGAAGACGTTTCACTTTATCTAGAAATATTTGTTCTTCAACGTGTTATCGAAAGAATCTAAATAAACTATCTATTATCGTCTCTAGTTTCCCAGAAGAGCTTTATGCAAAGGAACGGTATGTTCTACTATTACCTAGAAAAGCATGAGAGAGAATCAACGGTAGAAAATTAGCAGAAAAAGTGATCAGCTAGAATTTGTTTTTTATCATTTAAATTCATCGATATATATTTAATTTCAGCACTAATCAAGTTTTCCAATCGTGTCTTGGTACAACCGATTTGGACTTATCAAGTCAAACAAATCTGATATTAACGTGCATATTTTGTCAAGAAAACTCAGAAGTCAGACTCAATTCAGATGCCATTGTTTTACCAGCTTATATTGAAAGGTAAAAACACGTTTATGAGGAAAATTTTTAATATGGTTGAACATCCATTTAAGAAAAATTTTTCTTTTTTATAATCATTCATTGTACTCCTGCTTGTAAATTGGATGTTTTCCTTCTAGCTCTCGTACATTATCGAAAAATCGTTTACGAAAAATTGAAAATCCCGATACATTTGATCCGTCATTTATGTCAAATGATTTATATTGGGGTATTCATGTTTCGTCGTGTGGACATGCTATTCACGCCTCATGTTGGATAAAGTAGGTATTCTAGCCTTATACACATCAAATCTAATTCTTCTTTCATTTCTAGGTATCATGATTCTGTTTTAATTCAAGATCAACGTCGTGTATTACGTATGCGTGGAGCAACAAATTATGATGTTGAACGAGGTGAATTTTTATGTCCGTTATGTCAAACGTTGAGTAATACTGTTATACCCGTGCTACCATATTTGCGTTCATTTGCTGGCGACATTAAACTTACACCACCTCAAATGTCTTATAAAGATTGGTTAGATGGACTTGAAAAAGCACTTAATGGTAGTATTGAATCTCGGTATGAAGATGAAAGTCATGAAGAACAATTATTTTTTAATCCATGTCCATTATCATCCATAACAAAAATGATGGCTGAAACGGTAGCATTCAATTTTCAATTATTGTTCGGATTTGCTGGCGGTTCAAAGTAAAAAATTTCATTTTCACAAAATTTACAATATTTGCGTATTTATTCATTTTTAGAGTACAAGAATTTTCTGATAGTATACGAGAACGAATAACTACATTTGGGAGAAGTATTTATACGGTATGTTAGAAATCCAGACGCGCAGTGTTGATTTTGGAAAAAACTGGACAATCTTTTAAGTTTTTGTGTTTTATAAATAATTCTTATCTGCTCCAGTATTTCACTATTATTCATTCTATCTAAATCCCTTCTCAGATCGGAAGACCACTGTTGACAAATTTGTCCACAGTACAACTTTATCTGCTCATTTCTATCTAAGAAAAGTGTATGACTCTCTGTTTTTTTTCAATTTAGCTTGGTTTAAATGTTGATCCAGATGATGATAACGATAGAGTACCGACAATACTGTGGACATCCTGCGCTTATACAATACAAACGATTGGTAAGTGCAGATGTTAAAATTTTCCGTTATTTGTACGTCAAATTTTACATGTTTATTGTAGAAAATTTATTACGAATTGATTCAAAATCAATTTTATCACCCTTACCGTTACGTCAAACAGAATTAATTTCAGCATTAGTTAAAGTAGCAGCTGTGAACGGTCTATTGCATGATATTGATAAAATAAAAAAGCATTGCCTCAAACTTCTATCTGGTCAGTATTAAAGAACTTATAATAGACCAAATATGAACTGACTTTTATTATATAATTTTTTAGTATTATTACCATCTCGAGTTCGCCTACAAGTACCATCGTTGAGCGATGTTGACTTATTTCATTTGCTTGTTTCACTTTGTTTTACAATTCCCATATTATTTACAAATGAAATACCTCGATTTGCCCATGTAGCCATCGGAAATTTAAACGATTTATATTTGATGCGCCTCATATTAACGGCACATTGTTTACAGATATTATCTAGTCACAATTTTATTTACCAACAAGATCAAAGTAAGAAAAATGAATATTTAGATGATCGATAGACTTGTCAAAAGAGAATAAGGAATATTTTGTAATGATATTAAAACGAGTATTTTACTTGATAAACCTATTCAAATATTTTTGTTTATTTTTTAGACATTTCTGAGTCTTTGAACAGTGATACTATTAATACTGATGATGATGAAGAAATAGAAGCAATTAACAGTGTTGTACAAAGGATCGTTCAATCACAAAAGTAGGTGTCCAATTGATTTCATTGCGTACAGATGTGAATTATGAAATCAATTGTCATAATATTGTAAAACGCAGTTGATTCAAATTGTTAAGTGTCACAGTTTGGGTGACTGACATGTCTGAACATGATGTATTATAGGCAAAATATTCATAGAAAACTACTTGTACAAGACAAAAATTTGTCTTTTATTTGCTATTAGTATGGCACATTGAGTCATTTTCCAGTCCATTTGATATGTGTAAAAAATTAATAAAGGAAAATAGAATAGTAGAAAATAGTAAGATTTTAAATTTAAAGAGTAATAACAATTTTTTTGCATACGATATTGTAACAATAATATTGAACACCAAAATTAACGAATGTGGAGTGATTATATTTGATTTTGCATGAAGAATTTTGTTTCGTCAACTAAAAACTTGTGTTTTCTTCTGAATCAATGTGAATGATTGAATATTTCCACTATCTGTATTGAAATTCATGCTATCAGATGTATCAGCTGATATTTCTTCTCTTTCTATTGTCAATGATTGATTACAATTGTACATAGAATTTGGATAGATTTTGTTATTGTATATGCCTATTCGATCAGTTTGAATAGATAGAGAATGAGCTGTTTTGCGTTGTTCTGTATACTTTTCTTCTCTGATTTATCTTCTACATGTGCTTACATATCGTCGGATGATGTTCAAATAAGTGAATTAATCTCGATTGAATGTACTGATGTTAATGAACATATTGGTCAGTCTATTTTACCAAATGATGGAAAACAAATTATTGAAAGATTATGTCATGATAAATATACAAAAAAATTAAAATGGTTTATGGGCGATAATGTTTGGTATATGTGTCAACGTGAAACATTAACATTAAAATTACCAAAATATCGAGCAATAACAACTGATTGTAGTAAAAATAGTGAATTTAATTCAGCTATATTCAATGAATGTCGATCGTATGGAATTCAAATATACGATCAACAAAATATAAATAAAAAATTTCAAAAACGAATGATTTATCTAGATGGTTATTGGCCAATGAATAATGCTCGTGCATACTACTTTCTTCAACCTTATTATAAATCAAAAAGAATTTTTACAAAAAATCGAATCAAATGTAAATAAAATATGGAAATGTCTTTTAAAAATAAGCACACTCTTGAACATTGTGAAAACATTTACCTATAAGAAAAATGACTGCTAAAATATCTTGTGTTTGTTTATTAAATTATTAATCGCCTTTGATATACGAGTGTTTGATGGATTTTAAATATCAGTTTTTTTTTCTTAATTGGTAGCTATGATAATTCATAAAGACTTATTTACAAAAATGGATAATTATGTAATACACTGTTCATAAGAGACATGGATGTTCTTTCCCTAACATTACTTCAATTTATTTAATCTGATATGTTGCTTCTCTCGATTTCTTATCGATTATAGTTATATTTTGTTTTGAACAGCGATAATTTTTTAAAATAAAAGACAGCCTAAACTTTTGTTTCACAAACTCCTTATTTTGTTCATAACAAAGTACTCTATGATATGAGGTTTTTGCATTATTCAATTGTGAACGTGAACAAGTGCTTTAAACTAAAAAAAGGTCAACCAGTATACACTTTAGTTTTTGTTGTTTCTAAAAATTTATCAGATTATGTAAATGTTTCACATATATTTTCTACTAAATCTTGTTCAATTTTTCCTCCTGTCATACGTATACGTGAAATGAAGCTATTAACTGTTCTATTAAGTTAGTTTTTTCTATACTTTTAGTAATCAGTCTTGTCAAACTTCTTCACAACGTTTATTATCTGGTCGTGCATTACGTGAAAAATTAAAATTATCTTTGTTACCGTTATTAAGATGTTCAGCTATATTCTATCATTATTTAACCGGCATAGCTTGGCCAACAATATCTACAACAGGTAAATCAAACAAAAGTCTATAGATTATCGAGAATAAAAATTTTGATCTTTATCCTTTGTTTTAGCTTTACCCGATTCACCAAGTGAATATACAATGATTTGTCAGTATCTTGGTCTACCAAATTGTTTATCAAAAATTTTAAATCAAAATAATGATAACAATTTAAACGATTTAGTAAACAGGTAATTACCTTGTGTTATGGAAAACTACTTTAGCAGAATGAACAAAGTTTAAAAATGCTTCTAAACAACGATATTTACATGATAATTATATGATTTTCTCTATTAATTATTTTAGTTTAACTAGTTCAGATACTATTACTTCACGTGACCAGATAAATACTGTTCCACTCATTTATCCAATGGAAGTCAATGAACTCTATCCATTACCCAAAGAATATATCGATCTGATGAATCAAGTATCACAAGGGTACAATAGAAATTTCATATTGTACTAACAATTTTGTATTGTTATATCGATTGTTTCAATGTTTGTTCTAGTGTTGCTCCATATAAATATGCTCGTGATGAGACACGTTCACCATGTATATGTTTAATATGTGGTGAAATTGTTGTTCGATCATCTCAAACAAATCGTCAAACATCTGTATCGTCATTAGTGACAACCAATCATCCAGAAGCAAATCTTGGTCCATGTTATTTGCATACACTTCGATGTTGTGGATCGGTTGGTTTATATTTACGTGTTAAAGAATGTTCATTATTAGTATTAAATATTACTGATAATGGACGAGGAAACAAAGCTCGAGGAACATTAATACCGACACCATATCTTGATGATTACGGAGAAACTGATCAAAATTTAAGGTGAGAGATATTCACTGACTTCTCTCATATTGTTGATCAACATTAGGCCTCTAGCATACGAATTAAGATATACATATATCTCAGATTGGCATTTCCTTCACATTTGTCACATTTTTCTTCAAAGAAAAGAGATCAGTTATTCTACAAGATGTTTACACTTTCAGGCTACTTTACCACTCATTTTTTATATATCAGACTATTTCTTCTTTCTGTTCCGCCATTTTGTCAGTTGAAAAAACAAAATGCGAGAATATAACTGTTGTCTTTTCTGTGATAGAAAAATGTGACAAATGTGAAGCAAATGCCAATAAAGATATATCTCAGATATATGTATATTTCTGTTCGAATGCTAGAGGTCTAGTGTTTCTGTGTTCGATCTGTTTCACATACTCAAAAGCAGTTAATAAATATTTATTTGTATTTTTTCAGACGTGGCAATCCGTTGCATTTGTGCGAAGAACGATATCATTTATTACATCGACGATGGTTATCTCATACGTATCCTGAAGATATTTCACGTAATATGGAATTAAGTGCATCTGTCTACGCAACGAATTGGACTCTGTTTTAATAATAGGTATCTTTTTCTGTGTCATTCTTATTTCCTAGATAATATCATTTATATATGTTTTGTTTTCTAAAATTCTGATGTGGTACATTTTCGAAAAAGAAGACCTATTTTTAATTTTTTTTTTCTCTTATCGATATATTTTTCTTTCATCAAAACTATTTTTAAGATACAGTTATTTTAAAGACTGAAAATAACGACAGATGGCTTTTTTTTTTCAGTTTTATTCTTGCACAGTGCGCGTATGTCGCATCTGTATATTTTTTATTTTACGTGATTTACTTGGTTTTGTTGTTCATTCGTTTTCTCTGCAAACTCATTTATTTTCTGTACATTAAACATTTACTGAATTTGAATAAAGAACATGAGACCAGACCGTACATCAAATCAATCTTTCACCATACTATACGTGTTCTCATTTGATAGTAGAAAACACTCCCAACATTAGTGTGACTCCATTATTCATAGTATCATATAATATCATATGTTGCCTCCTAATTTCGTTGTTTAAACATGTAGACGATCTGGTCCTTTAGATAATTACACATATTTCTGAGCTTATAGACTTGAAATTCAATTGACTTTACAGAGAATATAATAGTCAGTGAGATCTTCTGGATATGAAAATATTATATTTAGATTATCTTAAGTGGATAAAAATTAATCATCAAGATTGTCTGATCTTCAGCTTTAGTTATTTGACATAACATATAAATATATTCTTCCAGATAGAAGCATAAGAACTTCTTCGATACAATCCAGTTCAATATACGACTCCGTTATTTTATCCGCTAATGTACGAAAATGGCAATAATAAAAATAAATTCTCTCTCTCACTCTCTCTTCTCTAGCACTTATTTTCTAATTGTAACATGAAATAATTCAAAAAAATGGCAATAGAATACAATAGTTTAATCTTGTTGTTATCAAATAATATGCTACATAAAATAGCATGCTGTTATAATAATTGCAAAATATGAAATACATGACGTTTTTCAGATGTTAAAGACATTTCTGCTCATTTTTCAAATATTTTTTGCAACATTCAATTATTTTGTACAATTCAACACATCATTAACATTATAGAAATTTAACATCGATATCTTAGTACAGTATAATCAAACCCTACAAATATTATAATTGTTAATCGTTAAACAATGTCTGACAGATCAAATAAACTCGATGCTTGCTCTATTATTGTGCCTCTGACTATGTCATAATGTCGCTCCACTCTTGCATTAACTCACGACATCTGCACAGATGAACGTTTCTATACGTTTTTACATATAATTGAAATCTCTAGATTGCAAAGTTGTACCAATATTATGTGAATCGCGAGCAAATCTAAGTGTCTGCCTGATGTTACAGTTCGCACTATCTTCACCAATCAACGTGTTTTTTTTTCTTTGATTCATAAAATAGTTGCAAAGATACTTTCATCATCTTACTGCGTTTAATTGCGGCATCGCCCTTTTTATCCACAAGTTGAGTGAAAGTATAAATAGAATTTATAAATTATCAACGTTTGTTGTACGTACTAGTTTCTAGTGACTATGCCGCTAATACCACTTAGCTTCGTAGCAGTGTTTCTAGTTTAGCAGTCGAAGGAACGGTGTTCGAATCCCCAGACTCGGTATGATTTTTTTCATAGTGTATAAAATACAAACAACGGAGATGCGACAAAGAATAGTAATATTGTTTTGATTATTCAACGCAACTATACTGGCCCTGTACAGAAAAAACATGGGTAGAGGTTTCTTCACTTGTTATACTACTATAATCCCAAATTTTCATGATAATAAGAATTTAACAGCTAGCTTTCACTGTTTTGGACAAATACAATTAGACAGCGTTTTTTTCAGACTATGTAGGATTCTTTATTCTGCATAATTAATCGATGTTCGGTATTTGTGTATTGTGGATGAAATCAAACGAGAAACTAAATATGAATGAAAAGCTAGCCATTGAATCTGGATCGTCTACAAACGAACAGTCCAATATTCCAAATTTATCATCCGTCGAACAACTTAATACGTTTACATTACCGGTTAATGATCAACTAAATTCACCCTCTACTTTATTTTCAACTAATCAGTCAAACGCCTCGTCGGCTGTTGTTATTCAAACAGACGAAAAACCAAATGAAAGTCAAATGAATGATAAAACTAAGAAAGAAGAGCGTTATTTATATTTATTAAATGATTCAAATTATGGTGTTATATTGTGTTTTTTGGATAAATTTCGTCCATTACTAGATCTACATGATTATCCATTAAGATTGTTGGAAGAACATTTATTAAGTGATGATGAAAACAGTAAGTTTAAAACTGAATAGTATCACAGTACGATATTAGTTATTGTTTATTATAGTTAGTCGACAGTTAATGGATTTTCATATATCATTACTCAAACGTCTTGTATTTGGTAAAAATGCTAAACATGAAAACTTTCTTTCAACAATTACACGAGTATGGAATTTTTTTCATATTGCTGTCCATTACGTTATTTATATTCTTTTAGTTCACATATCGATTTGACTTGGAAGATGGCGATCATTTGACCTCGGTCGGTTATGCACATGCCGAGATAAATGTGAAAATTCGTATTTTAAAGGTATTGACGAAACTGTTAGAATCATAATAATCTATATATTAACATTTTTTTTTATTGACAGAATCTTCTTGAAGCACAATTTGATCAAAACCAAACATTAAAAGCTGCAATACAAGACAAGCCATCAAACGAGATTCGATCACAACCGGTAAGTATTTATATTAATGTAGACGGTGTTTCTTGTTGAACTTTGTTTGTTTACAGCTCGGAAGAGATCAATATGGCTCATCGTATTGGTTATTTATGGTATGTTGTTTTTAAGAGTCGGTTTTAATCAGTGATAAATGACATTTATCTACAATTTGGAAGGAGTTCCTTAAAAAAAATGGCAGATTTTTCTTAAAAGTCTCAAAAATTGTAATTTAAGATATTTTCAGTTTACAAAAAAAGATAGAGTGGGCAATTATTCTTGAAGATAGCTGAAAACATCTGTTTAATCTTTTCTATTTTAGGATCGTGAATGTTTTGTACATTTATTTCGTGAAAGTTCTGATTATGAGCGAACATGGTCTAATGTAGCAAAGTAAGTTCTCTAATGTTCTAGCATCGATATGTTCAAAGCAACCGAAGTCTGAGACCTCAAACTTTTCTCACATAATTACTCCAAATTTACGGCTCATTAGGGTCTCAGATTGACACAGTATATATTTTCTTGGCAGCTTCATTCATCCATGAGGAATACTCCATATTTTTTGTCAAAAATTTGAGACACATCGACTACGTTTTTCGCTATTTAGAAATGAAGAAGAATTTGAACGTTTTACAAAATGTCTAACGTACGATCAAACATTAAAAAAGAAGTTTCATGGTAAATGCACTGTAGACACTTAAGAAAATGATAATAGACTGTTAATTATTATAATTTTAGAATGGAAACTTGAAATACCTACATTTTTCTTACCTGATTTGCCAATAGAACATTTTTATGATTCTAAACTCTATTTTAATGACACAAAAGAAACAACTTCACAATCAGAGGAAAATGAAAAACAAACAAAGTTCCACGGTAGTAATGTCATTTGTTTCTACTTGCGTAATTTTTCGATTATTTCAAATTTTTAGACAATATTTTATCTCCCAAGAATGAGATCGCACAAGAAAATATAAATACAGCAACGACTTCAAATAGTGAGAGTGGTAAGTGTACATTTAGTGCTTCTACAATCTATATATAAATACAATTTATACTTTTCTATATATTTGATGCTATCTTTTTTAATAGTTAAACATGAAATCAAACAAGAAGAGGTAAAGCCTATTGAAGAGAATTGTAACATTGAAAAAAGCTCAAACGAAGCGGATGAATGCCAAATACAAACGAATGAGGTTGGTGTAATTAAAAATCGATCAAGACGAAAAGCTGTTAGTTGGACAAGAAAGAAGAAAGATAAAAAGAATATAGCAGTGGATATTGACACACAATCACAATCCGAAAAAGAGAAAAAGTCAACAACATTAAATGGTAGAAAACGGAAACGAATAGATGATGAATATAGCGATATAAACGGTGGAGAAGAAAATTCAAATTCATCAATGTCAAAAACAAATTTGAATGAAACACTACTGGATGATGATCGTGTAAGTTATTTACTTATGAGATTTAGTAAAAAAAATATTGACAGGTGATGGTCCTCTAAAACCTAAAAATTAGTCTATGTTGTTTTAGTCCTTCTACTCTTGAGATGAGAAAAAAAATCGAATTATCCATTTTGTTGCTCTTGAGAAGATCTATCTTCTACATATAATTAAAAATTTCCCATCTCAAAATGAGAATTTTTTTCCTTTGTCATTTTTGGAGAGCAATCGCTGCGAAAAATTTACTCATCATTCGTTCAAAATCAAGCATATTCGGTTCTGATTGTTTTTATTTTAGACGGAAACAACATACCTATTATGTCTAAATACAAAAAATTTCAAAACTTTCTTTCTTCCAATATGCTGAGTAAAAAGATTAAAATTGTGTTGTTTTCAGAAGATTTCAATGAAATTACTCATTGTGCCATAAAATAGATTCAAAAGAACTTTATTATATACTAGAAGAAATAGCACATTTGGCAATATTAGAAGATGTCTGATGTAACTGATACTTACATTCTCATTTAAAATAAAATTTTAGTTGACTGAGTGCTAAAGTTGTCCATTTTTAGACTTCTTCAGTACTTTTTGTATAACGTTCCACTTCTCATTTTGTAATAAGCATTCATACAAAAATTCACAATAGTTCTTGTGCTAAAAAAAGGAATGTTCCAGGGATAAAATCTAACGAAGATTTAAACAAATGATACAACTACTCATCATATCTAAATCACCTGTTACTACTAACTTTTATAGAAACTAATTCACATTATTTTGAACTTTTTTAGCCTCTTGCTCTCCGACGATCACGACGTAGATTAAAGACAGACATGACAACATATACCGATGACAAATCAAATACTGAAGTAATTTAGCTTCTATATTCTTGTCTCAAATCAGAGCATAGCTGAGTGTTATAGTTGTGTTTATAAATAAAAAATATTCTTATTTTAACTTTCTTGTGCTGATAAAAAAAAATAAACATTCATTGAATATTATTTTAGACATTGGTGAAGTCAAGTAAAAAGATAGATAACAAAATCAAAAATCAAATTGGTCCGGCAACAAGACAACAACAAACATTGTCGTGTCCAAATCTTCTAACGAAAACGAAACGCACTAGAAAGAAGAAACGGGTAAAAAATAATTGCGGTTCATATTGGAGTGAAACAAGTTCAGATGACGAAAAAATAATATCAGATGAAGATGATGACGATGTAGAAGAAGTATGTTGTTTTAGTTTTTGATTGAAAACATGTAACTGTATTGCTGAGACATATTGTAGGAGTCAGATCATTTTGAAAATGAGATGGAAGTGGAAGATAATCTAGATGACGACGACGAATATGTTCCATTGGCAAAAACGGTGCTCTCCAAACGACGAAAAGCAGCAGAAACAGATGGTGCTGTTGGTAGGTTGAACATTTAAGTATTTATATATGGCAAGTTATCTTCTAATGTTGACATAAATAGGTCTGATTGTCTGAAATTTTAGATTGGACTTTATTGTCCGAACATACACCTAATACTACTGCCTGTTGTAGTTGTTTGAAAACTGATCATCCAGAATTATTACTATTATGCGATAATTGCGATGATGCTTATCATACAGATTGTTTAAAACCTATTTTACTTAATATACCCGATGGAAACTGGTATTGTCCATTGTGTGAACATAAACATTTATGTGAAATATTAGTAGAAAAATTGAAACAATTAATTGAAAATCACAAAGAATTAGAATTGAAACGTAATCAATGTATAATTGAAGAAAATAATGATCGTTTATCAAATTCAACAGAAAATGTAGATTATAAGGGTAAGATTTTAAGCATCTGAAATGGAATATTAATTTTTATGTTACAACATTTATTGTAGATGATAATTCACAACAAAAAAATGATGTAAATGAAGATGAACCAGGCGAAGATGAACACGATTATGAAATAAGTCAACGTGGACGAAAACGTCGTTCGCGTTTTAAAATTAAAATTCAGAATAGTGACGATGAGGAAAACTACGATGATGATTCGAGAGACACTGATTATGATCTGAATGAAAGTAGAGGAGAAAGAAGTAATAATATTCAATTTGATTTAAAATTACCGAATAGTATTAAAAAATTATTAAACAATAGATGTAGAACAACAACAACAACAACAGCAATGCTAAATAAAAAGGATCGAAGAGATTCAACAAGAATGGTATGTAAGCATTCATATAATGGGAGAATATTATACGAAAGTTTTTTTTCGTCAATCATCTAGACTCCAGTTCATCGCATCTACTTTTCTTATTGACCAGGAATCAAATAAAAAAATGTTTTTTTATTTAAGGCAACGCGATCCATCGATATTAATGATGTAAATCATTTAAATGAAAAATTAGGTAGTCCACTAGTCTATGTAAATATGATTGGGGGTTCAAGTGAATTACAATCAGTAATAACAAATTCAAAACAAACATCACAAATTGTTCGACGATGGCGAGATGTACAACGACGTAGTTCAATGTTAAAATCAAAAATGCCAACGACTTCAGATTGTGCAGATGATGGTGATTCACTATTAGATTCACCAATATCAGTTTGTGGTGGTGATCAAATTCGTTCGCCAATTAATTCATCCTATGATGATGATAATAATTCGACAGAAACTATAATACGTTCAAAAACATCGAAAGGAAAAAGAGTACCAACATCTACAACTACCATATCAAAACATTTACCTCAATATTATTCAAATAAATCTGATACAAATTTTGAAAAATTAACACATGATATTCAACAAGCACTCAGTGTCACATTGTCAAAAAAAGAGAATCCACAATCGAAAAATATAACGGTATCCTCCACGAATATTAACACAGAAGGAACATCATCATCGAGAATAACATTGAGTAAGCAAATTTATTAGATTATATGAATTATCATTGATTACCAGAACTAGCAATAAAAAATAACAAAATCGATCAAGAATATATATATATATGTCATGCTTCATGACTTTTTGAAATTCTACTTTTTTTATTAAGCAATTTTGAGTCTAACTAGGAGTAGGTATGCAACGGTTTCGGTTTTGAAACCGAAAAACTGACTCAAAAAATCGTTGTTCTGTTTAAACCAACACCTAAAAAGATTTCAAACATTTTTTTAGGTTTTAAAATGAAAATTTGTTAGCACATAACATCTGTTTACTATGTCAAAAAAACATCTAATTTTATCTGTACCGGTTTCGGGGTACCAACAATCAAATGATTCAAACCGCTAAAACCAGAAAAAAACGTAATTTGTTTTTTGTTCTGCTAGACTTAGAGAGTGTCTAATAGACACTGTTTTTATGCTTTGATGGTGGTTTAAACGTTTTATTTAAAATAAGAGAAGAAATAACTACAGTAGTAATAATCACAAGCAAGTGGGAGACACTCACTCATAATAGTAATCATTATTTCGAGTAGATAAAAAAACAGAATATAAGCAACAGTAAGAGTATAAGAGAAACAGCAAGAATATATCTTATGGTTTTTTAATCTTTTTTGATTAGGCTGTTTGTTGATCAAAAAGGTTCAGAAACTTATTGATCTAATAAATGCTCTTTCTTTAAAAGATGAGTATTAAAACACAAAATTTTACAATAATACTAAGTCTGAATTAACTACTAGTGATGATCGATGTTGATGTACATTGACATGAGAGAGGACAAGAAGGCTACGCACGCCATTAGTTTTCTCTTACAGCCATCTTCAAAGTAAAATAGTACCATCTACGAAAATTTCTTGAATGTGACAATACTCGCTTTTTTCCGTTATCGGTTTAAATCGAACATCGGTTTTTTCGTTGTCGATTAAGTGACACCGGTGCATACCTAACTAGGAGTAATATATTCATCATAAACAGTATACTCTAGACTTTCTAAATTTAGGTTCATCAAGTTTCTATTCATCAAAACCCACTTCATCAACAAAATTACATGATTCAATTAATTTATCATCTGATTCATTTGGTCGACTGGGTAATAATACTAGTCATCATCAAAGAGTACAAACAAGTTTTTTACCTTATCGCGAAAAATTAAATATTATACCGACATCACGTTTAATGTCACACTCAAATTATAAAATATTTAAATCGAAAGATCCGCCCACAACAACCAATGGTCATCATTCATCATCCTCAACATCATCATCAATAACTTTTGATGATAAAACATTAACTTGATGTATAATTTTTCGTTCTATTTTCTGGGCAAACGATCTATTTCTTTTGTACCTTTATAAAAGGTTTTTTCTTATTATAATCATAGTTTTTTTTTGTTTTGTGCTTGTTTCTTTGTTGTGGTAACTTAAAACTTGCATTTTTTTTGTGTGTCATTTGTTAGAGAATGTTTGATATACAGTAAGTATATAGTAAAATATCTACATGATCTTACAGAAGAACCATTTGATTGTTTAATTTGCACGTCTATCGGGATAACTATACGTAATCGTATTGAACTGTTGCTAGACCGCAGATACTGGAGAAGAAAATATTTAGATTTTATCTTTCTTTTTGAAGACATTCTCGGATTCATACGATCTTATACTGCAAAAAATTTTATAATGTAATCTCTTCTACAATAATATTTTAAAAATTCAATAGTATCTCGAAATAGTGAATATCACTTTCACTGAATTTTAACAGCATTACGCTAACTGTTGTTGTTGTTTTCTAGTAGATCAATTTTTTTCCGTATTAGTGATTTTGCAATATACCGAAATGTATTTATGTATAAGTCTTGCAGGAAATGGACGATGAACTCGAGAAAATAGGCAAATGAGCCAAATAAAACGAAACTAAATTAGCTGCTGTTGTTGGGCCATGAGCGTACGACAGGTTGTGGGCTTCTTTCAAAAAATTTTTTAGAGATTGTAACAAGAAATTTTTTTGCTGTGCAACCAAAAATAATGAAAAATTTTTTAATTCCGCTGGGAGAAAAGGACAAATTTTTATGTTTTCATTTTTCAATTTTCATTTTTTATTTTTTATTTTTAAAAACATGAAATATCAAAACTATATGGAAATTATCAGTTCTGTATAGTTTGTACGATAAGCTAGTATTGATTACTTTTACGAACAATGATCAACTGTACACATGGTATGTAAGCAGATGAAAAAGCTGTGATTATTTGGTATACTTTTTTAGTTTTTAAGGAACAAGTTGATTAGACGAAAGTTACAAGTATTAAATAGCATTTCATTTTCTATTTTCATTTTTTTATAATCTACTAGAATTACCGAGATATATGCTTTTCTACATATAGGGCGCTGTTTTTGTGCATGTCTAGTTAGTTCTAATATATCTTAAAAAATTAAAATACAAATGAAATGCTATTTAATTCTTGTTTAATTCTAAACCTTTATTCAATGGAGTTGTATAAGTAAAAACCGATAAAGAATGCACGAAATAAGCACAGTTTTTTTACATATATAATTCGTGAACCGATCTATGTGAAAGATTTTCCTATAGATGTAAGTATATTTAGTTTCATGACAACACGGTCTTTTGATTGCAATCAACAAATTGTGTCAGAATGGTCGAATGAAATTTTCATTGATCAGAAACTAGACGATGAAAAACATCGTGGATTTTTACCTACTGAATGTACTTGATCCAGGTATTTTATTTCTTAGTAAGTACTTGAAAAAATTGACAATTATTTTCAAAACTATTCACGTTTACAAGTACTTCACCAGGATTACGATACCAGGTTTTATTGCTACAACTTCATGTTTCACTTAATATTAAGGACATTTGGAAGAAAAGTTAGCGAATAATGTATGTCGTTCTGCTCTGTGTTATCCAGGAGAATCGAATCTTAAGAAACAACGACACTAGCGTATATTAATATCTTCATTGCGTATATTACATCAATTAGTGGCTAAAAAAAAAGAAAGATAGAATAATACTGAAAAAGAAGAGGAAAGTACAGCTTGTCTACTTTTTTTGTTGATTTATGTTGTACATCTCTGCTTACCAACTGTGTCTATCTGAGAGTATACCAATTTTTTCATATCGATAAGAGATAGGAGAAAGCAGTGCTGTATTCTACAAATTCTTCTGTCTTTTGTGTTCAAGATTCACTCGATCTATGTTAAACTCTAATCTTACAAATCTTCAACTTCTACTAATGCCCTTCTTTCTTATATGAATATTTTTTTGATTTCTTTTCCTATTTATACTTATTTTCAATTTATCTATTTTTTTGTATCTACTCGAACAAGTCATTGTTACAATGCTATTCATACAACCAATTAATTCAATCAATCTATTGAAAAGTTTTCTTCACTTTCCATAGTTCCTGCACTCTAAAAAATAATGCGTATTATATGATGTGTCTACTTCAAAATGCATCATGTAAGTGTCTTAAACGTGTCTTGCAAGAAAATGTGACTTAATGTGTCTACAACAACAAGTAATTGAAGACTCTTTTGAGATACTTTCAGCAGGCGCCTTTCAAAAAAAGTGCTCTGTGGTGTCATTGTTACAAACCATACATTTCAGAATATGAACTCGGTGACATCCATGAAGTCATTCAACTATCGTCGATAGGAGCATTCTTCTACACTAAAAGATTCTTCTGTTTAGAACGAACTGTCTCATTTTGGTCGATGCATGGGTAAACTGAATTTCAGGAGAGAGCACCAAGCTCGAAGTTCAGTTTTTGACTCTTAGAGTATTCTCAATCACACGCTAATCTTCAGACGTTGTACCACTTATTATTGGTATTATCATGTCAATGTAAAGCTACAGACGTTTAGCAAGTTTTAACAGCCTGTATAAAAAATATTTTAGCGAATAGTTTCTTCAAAACTAAAATTTGTGTTTTTTAACTCTACAAGTCTAAAATAAGAACCAGAACGAATAAGAATAACTCTGTGATGTAGGTCTGGTAGTGTAATGGTTAATGGTTAATATGCACGTCTTCCAAACATACGGTAGTGAGTTCAAATCTCACCTGAACCGGTAAGATGGACGTTTTTATTTTGCGTCTTATTGTAAGACACTTTGATGCGACGTATAGTAAGACAGACAAGTCGGATCAGAAAAAGATGCTTTAATGTGTCTACCCTCATAAGACACATATAATGTCTTCCAGTAAGGCACATTAAAACATCTTTTCTGATCCGACTTGTGTGTCTTAATATAAGTCGCATTTGTTTAGAGTGTATCATCCCCATAGACATACACCTTTCACCAAAATCTTCAGCAACAATAACTTACTTTTCTACTCGAAAATGTGTTTCAATAATCATGTGTGTTAGTTTTTGTCAAATAAAAGTTAAAATACATGTTCATATTTACATTTCAAATCCATTTGAAAAGAAATACGTTCATCTGGATGATATATACTTTACTCGAAAATTTCAGGTTAGACCGAGAAATAAGTGTAGATAGCTTCTCCTGGAAATGAAAATTTGACTCTCGATTTGTTAATTGTTATCAAAAAAGTACCCGATACATTTGAAAAATAAAGATGCGATAACTTATTGCGTATAGTTATTGAATAAATACAAGTTAAGCAAATCTATATCGATCCATACTTCGTTGCAAACTATTTGATGCTCTTGACAATGGACTTAGAATAACATTTTCTGGCGATATACGATCTGATTTTATTCTCCAGGGTGGTTCTGGTTGTTCTTTTTCTATGTCATTATCATCGTTAATTTCAAATGCAACAGCTTGTTTGCGCTTCGATTAGATAGAAAAAATGACAACTATACATCTCTGAGTGAGTCGAAGTTGATAAATAGTTATACTCACCGGTGATGGCGAATAGATCGATGGTATTTGAGAGGAAGATTGTATCAATGGCACACGATCATCGTATCTTCCATCGGGTGTATTTGAATTCTGTCTTACATTGTTCAGTGATAATGAACTTTCTGAACGATTGATATAATAAAGTCTAGGATTAACTGTTGTTTTCGAATGTTTATATTTATTAATTGGTGTATTGAGATCATCATTCGTTGGTGATAATGTCACTGTATGAGCAGGCTCACATCCCGTTATATAATAGAGAATCGGTTCTGATTTATTCACGCCATCATTTATAGGTGGAGTAATGCTACGATATTCGTCATTATCTTCTAATATTTTTTCTTGTTTTGAAATATAAAAGAGTTCTGGTGCGGATTTTTCTATGACATCATCATCAGATGATTGATTTTCTTGTCTGGGAATATAATACAATTGGGGAATTGGTTTATTGAACGCTAGAAACAATTTTGTTCAATGATATTTAATATCAGAAGGAAGTATTGTATCATCATACTTACTATCGATTTCATTTAGACTAGGTGTCATATTCTCTTTTCCTAATTAATTGTCACTTTGTTTCTCTTTAAATCGTTGTATGATAGTAACAATGTATAGAAAGAAAGGTATTACTTTATTTTTTTAAAATATGAAGTTTACCATATGCCAAATAAAAATTAAATTGTTCGAACAACATCACATTTTTTTAACTCGTTCTGTTTTCATATTTTCATACTATTTCTGTTAAATGTCAATGTAGTATCAACAACAATTAAATTTATTTTTTGTAATGAAAATGTTGAAAGAAATCAAAAAAGAGAAAAACGTTGAATAATTGTACTATGCTACAATTTGTTATTAACCCTTCATGTCCCCCGCAGCTAATCACATAAAATAAACTTGAATCTCTTGTACCTTTCTCTAGGCCAACTGGAACAATTTTTTTCTTATTAGCAGTTGCTAGCTTATGGTGTCAACTTACACTAGAAAATAATCCGTTTTTTGATCTAGATGCATTGTCATCTAGCTGTACTAATTCTTCGATATCCACTAATTTCCATTCCAGTGGACATTAGGTCTTTAAGGATTAAATTATCTCTAATAGTTTGAAACAATTATAGGTGAGCAATAAACAGAAAAGTTTAAAACTCATTTTAGATAATAGATACATTGATTTTGTGTATAACTTGTGCAATTATATCTTATGTTTATATACATATATATATATAGGAAGAAGAAATTACTACCTAGTGGTTTTTTCTTTCGAAAGAGACGCGTACGAATGAAACAAAACGTAGATAGAACATCATTCGGATGCGTCTTTCCTGAAAGAAAAAACCACTGGGTAGATACAGATTAGACAGACGACTGAGCCACAGAAGTGGATAGAAAAAGAGTAGTGCAACTAAGATATAAAAAATTGAAAAATCAGGCAAAAATACCATTTTGAAACGTTATAATCAGCAACTAATAGTTTTGAAGAGTTTAGCAAACTTGTCCAAAGGTGAACAACTTCAAGTGAGAATGTATATTTATTCGTAGGCTAACTCAAACAAGCGCGTTATTAAAAAAAGGACTAGTTATTAATTGAACAGTTGACTGCAGTTAACTGGTTAATAAAATGATCATATCTTTTTTATCTAAAGATAAGATAAAGTTTTTGAATATACTGGTTTGTAGTGCGGAATTCTGCACTATAATTCTATATCATCGAAATTTTTTATAACTAATCTCACGAGGGCTTTTTCGGCCTGTCGCAATAAATGGCTGTTTTGACCGACCGTCAGGGATTTTTCTCATATTTACCGAAATGAAAAGAGTCATCATGATAACAAACTTGTTTGTTGTAAGAAAGATTTTCATCGCGATATTCGTGAATGTATGTATATATTATGTCGTGATTTGCCTCGCTAGGTTTTTTATTTTGATAAAGATTAGAAAAAACCGTGACGAGTGAATAAAATCGGCGTTTATCTCGATACTTTGTTTTTATGTTGGGATAGAAAGCGATATAAAATATATTGAGGTGCATGCCGTTGTGGTTTACCTCCATTTCTGTCGTGATAAATTGCGGCACGTATCGATAGATATCAAGATGAAAACCTTTCCCAACAATCATCGCAGGAAAATTGTTTGTGTGAGCAGATTATTAATTAGCGAGCTGATAACGTATACTGATATGTCTCGATTATCGTTCATTAGGCTTATTTAGCCTTGCTCAGTATCTCATCTCGATACTTCAATTAGTTAAATGTTCTTTTTCTATAGAATTTTCCCACATAATCAATATTCGCTTAGATTCCGTGTTATCAAACTATTGTTCAATTTTTTACTAGCGTAACCCTCTCGTCCTCTAAAACTGTGCATCTCGATTCCGTTTTGTAAGCCACTAGATGTTGGCCTAACGCTGTCCCTCATATTTAACGTTGATTAGACGAATTTAGTTTTTATCAATATCTTTATCATGATAACGTCTAATAAATACTTATCGCATACCGAGATGTAGGTATTTACCAGGCTAACGAGGAAACCTATGGACATTTACCCCTCCGCTTTCATTCATTCATACGTCGATCGATAGAGGATATCGAGGTTGTAAAAGCTAAAAAGGATTCGGACCAATGGCTTTTTCTTCAAAAGTTATAGGCATTTTTCTGTTTCTCCCAGCGAAAAATAGAAAAAATAGAAAAATTCATATCTCCGTCCAAAAAAGTAGTTAAGAGCTCAAATCTCTTTCTATGGCTCTTCTACATGTCTGTGATATTCATACAAAGTTCCACCTCTATAACTCATTTCGTTCCCGAGTTCTTAAATTTTAAGTTTTCCATAGATTAGCCCTTTGATATAATGGCACAATATAATGGCTTCCAAAATCGTTAGTTTTCTACTAGAACTGTTGAAATTTCGTAAATGACATGGTTTTGTAGTCTAATTTCGTTTATGAAAACAAAAAAGATTTCTCAAACTCGCTGTGGATGATGAGGTCTCCAGAGACCTTCTTGAAAACTGGAATTAAGAAAGGTTGAAGTTATATAATTTTGATTAATTTTCTGTGTATGCCGATCAAAACCGTGTCATTTACGAAGTTTCAACAGTTCTAGTAGAAAACTAACGATTTTGGAAGCCATTATATTGTGCCATTATATCAAAGGGCTAATCTATGGAAAACTTAAAATTTAAGAACTCGGGAACGAAATGAGTTATAG